TTCTATTGATTTGTATCTATTCAATATATACTTATACTAGTACTTGATATCTCCCCCATAGAATATAACCTCCTTGAGGGCAAGAACTGTTCCATTCATTGCATTTGTATCTCTGGGGCTTAGCATAGTGCTTGGCTAAGCAGGCATTTGGCAAAGACCTATTGATTGACTTGATAAATAAACACAAAGTAATTTTAAGAGGAAGCTTGTACTAATATCAAAAGGCTATCAGGAAAGGCTTCTTGGAAGAAATAGTACCTGAGCTACTGATTCCAAAGATGCTAGGGATTCTGGGAGAAAGAGTGATGGAGGCAGTCCATTCCATGGGGACTACCTGTAGAAAGGTGCAGAGGTGGAAGATGAAAAGTCAGATAAATTCAAAACTGGTTAGAAGGCCAACATCCAAAGGCGATTGGGATTGGTCCCATGTCAATGTGGCAGGAGGTCTCCCAGGGACCTGCACTTGGCCTTATTTCCCGTTTCCATCAGTGACTTGGGTGAAGGCATGGATGGCCTGCTCATCCAGTTTGCAGATAACACAAAGGTGGACAAGAGTCCTAATTCCAAAGATCTTGCCAGACCTGAGCTCTGGGCTAAATCTAATAAGATACAATTCAATAGGGATAAACAGAAAGTCTTTTCTTTTGTGTATGACTTTACAAGTATAATTTGGGAGGGCCGCAGTTGTTCTGAAAAAGGATCTGGGGGGTTTCAATGCATAATGAACAGAGTGAAATGGCAGCCAAAGAGCAAGCACTTTCTCGGGGGAAGGAGCCGACAGTCCCCCAGTCCTCCGCCATTGTCAGACCCCACTCTGGGTGCCATGACTTAAGAAGGCCGTCGAAGAGGTGGAAATATTCAGAAAGCGACTGGGCATGGCAAAGGGCCTGGGGTCCGTGTAATCTTTGATCAGCTGGAGGAGCTGGGCAGGTTTAGTGCAGAGAAGAGGAGATTCAGCAGTCATGTGAAGGAGGGAGCGGAGGTGTTGTTTGTCCCAAGGGTAGAACCAGGAGGAGCAGTGGGGAGAAGCAGCCATGGGGCTCATTGAGGCTTGCCGTCAGAAAGACTTTCCTCACTACTGGAGTTGTCCCAAAGTGGTGTGGGCTGCCTGGGAAGGCGGTTGGACCCCTCTCCTTGGAGGTCCTCAAGAAGAGTCTAGCTAACCACTTGGTGGGCACGTTCACCAAATGGGTTGGCTTAGATAGACAATCACTGAGGTGAGGTCCCTTCCAACTCTCCAATCCTGAGATTTGGTGAACCTGGGATTCTACCAATGGCAAGCAGCTTGTTTGGCTCAGATACAGAGTGCATGAGAAGGAGTAAAATGAAATCAATTTGGAAAGGGAGTTGGGAACCAGATCACGTGGAGGGCTTTGCTGGGCTATTTGGTATTTTATTTGAGAGGCAATAGGGAGCCACTAAAATTTTTTTCAATAGGTCCGATTTGTGTTCCCAGATCCTATAAGGATCCTTAGAGGCAGTTAAGTGGTGTCTTTGAAAGAGCTTCGGGGGCAGCTAGGTGGCACAGTGGATAGAGCACTGGCCTTGAAGTCAGGAGGACCTGAATTCAAATCTGCCCTCAGACCAAACACTTAATACTAGCTGTGTGACCCTAGGCAAGTCACTTAACCCCAATTGCCTAACAAAAAAACCAAAACCAAAACCAAAACAAACAAACAAAAAAAGAAAACAAAGAAAGAGCTTTGGACTAGGAATCAGAAAGACCTGAATTTGAATCCTCCCTCAGATACTGACTAGCTGCAGGACTCTGGGCATTCACATCCTCTTTCGGCCTCAGGCTTCTCTTCTGTAAAATAGGGATAATAATAGCACCTACTGCCAAGATTGCTTCAAGGATTACATGAGATAATAGCTCTAAAGCACTTTCCAAACCTTAAAATGCTCCCGAAATGCCTGCTGCTGTCTTCATCATTGTGCTTGTCATCTTCCTCCTCATCATCATCTTCATGAGAGGTGGAGGACAGCTCCCAGGCCATCTAGTCCAGAGGAGGAAAATGAGGCCCAGGGAGGTGGATTTGAACCCAGGGCTCGGAGAATATCCATTTGCCAGTAGTGGGAAGGACAGATTGGAGTCAGGAGAGACATTGGTAATGAGTGAAGTTGTCACAAGAGGCCGGGCTAGAGGTCCTTCAGAACTGAATTGGATAGAGACGAGGGGAAGGTAGAAAGAACAAGAGTTGGCTAGTTGCTGGACATGAAGAGGTCCTCTCTGGGCCTCAGGCTCCCTTTCTCGGCAATGAGGGGCTAAAACTAGACAATCTCGAAGTTCCCTTCCTTTCTCAACACTTCAGTTTTCCATGCTGTAAAATGGGCACTTAGATTTAAAGGGCCTGAAGGTGGCTCCTAGCTCTTGATGCTCTGATCTGAAGATTCTGAACACTCTCCCTCTGGCTGCGCTGAATCCATCCCACCCTTTGCAGTCCACTTTCCTTCAGTTTGCCTCAAGGTCCCTCAAGCAGGGGGTGGAGCAGGCCCTGAAACAGATGAGGGAGAGTAGCTATTCCCCCCCCCATCAGTCTTCCAGGTCACAACCTGGGCTTTAGAGATTACTCAGTGGGCCCCCCGGGGGGAGGGGGGGAAGAAGTCCAAAGTGCCTTCGGGGCAGGAGACAGGAGCCAGCTCAGGCCCCAGAGACAATAGTGGGACTTCCTAGGCAGTTCACTGCTCCAGGCACTGCCTCCCACTCTTCAGCAGCTTTCTTTTTGCTGAGGGCTTTGGGATAATGGCATTTTATGCATTTATTCTGTTCATTTAGGAAAACAAGTCATTTCCTGGTCCCAAGGTGCACTTCTATAATAGAAACATCTTGTCTGCTCTAACAAGGGGCTGACCTGACAAGCAGTAGCAGTAAATAGTAGGGAGACAAGCTGGTTGGGCTCCCCATGGTCTCTGGGCCAGGAGGGAGCAGGATGCTGAGCTGGTTGGACCCTCTGCGTGCAGAGATGGCCCCAGACTGTCTACTACCTGGATAATTGGAGGGGCGGGCTACGGACTCAGGGGCAGCCCAACCCAAAAAAAATATATTTGTGTGTGTATATATATATATATATACACACACATATATATATATGTGTGTGTGTGTGTGTATGTGTGTGTATGTATGTAAGGGGCTGGGGATGGTAAGACCAAGGGGAGGGAAGAGGGGTATGGGTTCATTTTCCACAAATTCAGCAGCAAACACTTAGGAGGTACCTAATAGGTGGGAAACTACATTTCCATTGCTGGAGATCCCAAAGTAGCCATGACATTGCCCATCTCTCAAGTTTACAATCGAGTTTACAATCTTGTGGGGGGGTTGGGGTGGGAAGGATACAAAAAGTACGTAAATAAGTCTATTATGAGGTATATTGTGATTGGAGGTGGGGGATGCAAAGGACAGACCCAGACAAAAGTCTCCGGGAAAATCTAAGGAGGGAGAAATCCTAGGCAGGGGGTAGGTGGCTGTGAGAAGGGTATCGGATTATTGGACCTTTATCGGCATTCATTCATTCATTCATTCATTCATTCATTCATTCATTCATTCATTCATTTATTTAGAGGCAATTGGGGTTAAATGAGTTGCCCAGAGTCACACAGCTAGTGAGTGTTGTGCTATGTGTCTGAGGGCAGATTTGAACTCAGGTCCTCCTGACTCCAGGGCAGGTGCTCTATCCACTATGCCACCTAGCTGCCCCAAAATTTAATCCTGTAATTTTTTTTTTTGGTCTGAACTCATGATTTCATCAGTGTGGGAAACTCTCCAGGTAGACACTCTCTTCACTGATACAAATCATCAATATGGCTATAATATTTTTTTTTGCAAGGCAATCAGAGTTAAGTGACTTGTTTAGGGTCACATAGCTAGTAGTAAGTAGTGTGTCTGAGGCCGGATTTGAACTCAGGTCCTCTTGACTGAAAGGCCAGTGCTCTATCCACTGTGCCATCTAGCTGCCCTGGACTTTTAATGGGCCATAGATTTTGAGACCCTAAAAGATCATCTAGACCAATCCCCTCATTTTCATAGATGAAGAAACTGAGGCCCAGACAGACTAAAGGACTTTGCCCAAGGTCACATAGGGAGTATGTGAAAGAGAATCCAAGTCTTCTGAATCTAGCCCCAGTGCTCCCTCCCCTAGACCACCATGAGTCAGGGAGTCTGGATTCAAATTCTAGCTCTGCCATTGACTGTCTATGAGAATTGGAGCCTATCACTTCACCTCTCCTGGCCTCAGTTTCCTCATCTATAAAATGGGGAGAAAGTTGGCCTAGATGTACTTTAGGTCCTCTTCAGCTCTCTATCTCTCGTTCTGTGAACTCTAAGCTTGGAGGATGGGCAGAAGGTTAACGGGCCCTCTTGGAGTACGTGGAAAGGGCAAACCAAGATGAGGGTAGCCTTGCCTGGGATGGAGAGTAAATGAAGGGGAGCAAAGGGAAATGAAGCTAGAAAGGAAAATTGGCGCCCACTTGTGGGGAAGGGCCTTCCTTGGTATGGAGTTGGGGATTTTGTCCCGGAGGCTGAAGAAACCTTTGAAGGATTTGGGGAAAGGGAGGGCCTGAGGCTGCCCCGTGTCTTAGGAAGATGATCTTGGGAACCGTGGGGGAGAATGATTGGGAGATGGGTGAGCCTGGAGGTGGGGAGGCCATGTGGGTCCAGCAGGGAAGTACCGAGAGAGAGCCTGGACTATGGGAATGGAGAAGAAGGGGCAGCACTGGGAAAGGACAACAGGGAGGGCTTGAAAGTGGCTTGGCTAGGGCTGTCGGTGTTGATTTCTTCTTTGATTTCTCATCCAGCTTTCGGGTGACTGATCATTGGTGAACAGTCCCTGGCCAGCCTAGAGGCCCCTCAGCATTCCCATGCTCAGGGCCCTGCATGGTGTGCAGCCGCTGGATTGGCCCAAAGGAGCCAGGCTCGTGTGAGCCAGGCCAGACTGGGCCAGTGAGAGGAGGCTAGCTCCCGACTTTGTGCCCCTCCCGCCCATTTCTGCTTCTTCTTCCCCCAGGTACCTGCCAGCTTGGTTGGGCATACTACTGCGCTGGGGGCGGAGCTGCAGTGGCCATGCTGATCTGCACCTGGCTCTCCTGCTTTGCCGGAAGGCTTCCCAAGCCCATCGTGAATTCGTACACCATGGAGCTGGAGCATTGCCTCCACCCCTGAACCAGCTGGCCGTTCTAGTCTCTTGGGGTGCTGGGGGTGGGGAAGGGCATGTCTGGGAAGGAAGTCCAAGGCTTTCTCCCTACCAGTTCCCCCAACCCCTAAGTCTTAGCCTTAGCTACCGCTTTCTCTTTTCCTTTTCACTTGCCCAAAGCCAGGGGGGCTAGGAGCCATTGACTAGATTGGTATGGGATATTAGCTTTACAACTTTCACACTTTTCTTCTTCCCTCCTTCCCCCTGGGGTCTCCAGGCCCTCAAGGGTTCCTTTCCCCCAAATGCCTCAAGAATCCTCCACCAAAACCCATCAATACTTCCCTGAGCGCTTATGACTATTATTCCTATGTGGTTGGCACAAACGTCCTTTCCTATTGAATGATAGACCTAGAGCTGTAAGAGATCCTTGAACTCATGAAGTACAGCCTCCTGATTGGATACATGAGGAAACTGAGGCCCAGAGATCATGAAGCCCTAGAGCTGGGATCTGGGCCCTTGGAGCTCCTCCACCATGCTGCCCAGCAACGTTCTTACACCAGCCACGTCCTGCCACGGGGCAGCTTCTCCCTCACTTTCCAAATAAGGGCCCCCTCCGTGCTTCTTGCCTCCATATGCCAATTGTTAGCAATGGCTCTGCCTGCTCAGGAATCACTCTAGATAGACACCACACAGAGAAGGCTGGGCACATTCTAGCTGATTCCAAGGGTTCCTACATCAGGCAGTGGAATAGGGGCCAGCAGGGGCTGAGAAGGGAGATGAAGTGCAGGGGAGGGGGGCACTACCCTGGCAGTCAGGAGGCCTGCATTTGAATCCCAGTCCTGCCACTTGCTTGCTGTGGTCGCCTCCCTGTGCCTCAGTTTCCTCATGAGGAAAATAAGGGGAGGTTGAACTAGATGATTTCAGAGGGTCCTGATTCCAGTCCTGCCATTTTACAATTCTCCTGAATCCCTTGGAGATCCCAAAAAGGACCCTGGAGCCTCCATTTGAATTGGAAATGGGTCTGGGGAGCTTGCTCTAAGAGGATTTCTTTCTGAGCTCTTGAAGAGATTTCATGCCTTAGCAGCTTTCTTCCTAGGTGGATAGAGATGCATTTTTCGGCTCGGATTTCCCTTTCACATGCTTACAAGACAAGTCTGCCAGCATTGACTCCCTCCTGACCCCAGCCCTGGCCACTATCCTGCTTCCCTCCAGGGCCACACAAACAGTCCTGAAAGGGATTAAGGAGCTGGTCAGGCGGCACTGTAGTGTGCTTTTTGCAGGCCTTTTTGGCCTGGCTTTCAGTCCCAGCCCTGATGCACACTAGCCATGGGACAGTGGGCAAGTTACACCAATTCAAGTCTCCATTTCCTGTGCCTCAGTTTCCTCATCAGCACAATGTGATAGCAATACTTCTGCCCCCTTTCTCCTTCCCAGGGTTGTTGGAAGGAAAGCATTCTACACATCTTAAGGAGTTTGAGAAATGGGTCTGTTACTCAGAACATAGCTTGCTACTGAGCAGTCCAGGGTCAAAGCATCACAAGGAGGGAGGGGGAGGCTGACTGCTGACTGTGACAGATTCAAGGGAAAGAGGCAAGGCTCTGGCTCAGGAAACCTCTCAGCCACCATTCTGGGACCACCAGAGCCCCCCTGCGTAGCCTTCTGTCCTCATCTAGGCAAAAGCTGTGGGGCAAAAAGGCCTCACTCATTCCACTGGCATTTGGACAAATGGGGGTCTCTTTACAGAATCAATCATTTAGAGAGATTGGATTTGGGGCCACTTATGAAAATGTCAATGCCTGCCACTCACGGTCATCTTGTTGAACCCTGTGAAACAGGCTTTTGGCTCCTTGGGGCAACAAGAGGCAGGGTCCCTTTGCCAAACCCATGCTGCCATGGGGCTGCTCCTGCTGAGAGGGACATTGCCTGGGAATTACAATCTGGGCTATTCTCTCTTCCCCCCCTCCAGCACATGGTAGGGTCTCCAGGGCACCCACGAGTTTCACAGCATCATGGTGTGGTCTTAAATAAGCCAGTCTGGGCTCCCTCTAGGATGGGAGGGGGAGGGGGAATGATATCAAGGCTAAAAATAAACCAGCAGGCACTTGGTGCCCTGGTTCCTGGGCTTCTGAGGAGTGAGATGCTGAAGTTACACTTTGAATGTTGTCATGAGAATGGAGCCTGTTAGGGGTCATTATTGTTAGGACACAGGAGGTGTTCCAGGTACTTTCAAAAACGTGAGTTCCCTCCCTTGTAGCTCTCTTACCAGGGGTCTGCTACCCCAGGCTCCCCTCTTCCTATTTCCCTTCCCTCTCCAGAATCCCTCCTCCCCCCTGCACAGTGCTCACTTCGCTGTTTAATAGAGAGAGCAAGGGCCCTAAAGTGGTATAGGAACACCAGCTCCACCCTGGAGCCAATGAGCTGCCCAGGGTTGTTACTGTGGCATCTTCTCATCTGGAGCAGAAGAGACAATAGAACAGTAGAGCAAAAATGAATGATAAGACCTTTGCTGGGATATTTGAAAAAGGTTGAAAAAGAGGGCTCAGAGAAGGCAGAGGTCCTGTCCCTTAGCGATGAGGGTAGAAGGCCTGAGCACCGTGACCTCTGTGCTTCCCTCCTGTCATGGCCCCTGGGCTCAGAGCCCTCAACATGGGCTCTGAAATGAAAAGACTACAGTCCCTGCCCACCGGGGTGCTCTCAGCCTCACTGAGGAGACAATATTGGGCCTATGGTTGGTAGAGGACAGCAACAGAGACTGAGCAGAGAGTGGCTTGGCAGAGAAACCAGCAGTAAAGAGAATAAAGCAGTGGAAGACCCCAGTGGTTCATAACACCTTATAGTTCAATGACATCGCTAGGCCAGCAGAAGACATCAGCTCATAGGCCATGTGCATTCCCTACATGTATCATCTCCCAGTGATGGTGTGGGAAGCTGTGGGAGAATGAATGCCTGGGTGTACACTTGGTGGTTATGTTCTCGTGGGAATTCCTTTTATTTACAGGTTGGATTAGATGGCCACTGAGGTCTCTTCCAACTATCAGATTCTTTGTGTGTGTGCAGTGTGTGCAGATTGGGCAGGAGTTCTTTGTCATTTATTCGCTACGCTCTTTTAATTAAACATCTTTTGCTTTGAACTAGAGTGCCCTCTGTTTGATTTGGGCAAAGAAACATTGGTGGGGGCTCATGAGCTAGGGCTTTGAGTAGATGCTGCCTCAAAGCATGACTTGAACCTGGAGTGCATTGACAGATAATTAGGATATAGACAGATGAGGGAATTTTGGCCCCCCCAAAGAGGTTAAGTAACTATCAAACATATAGTAAGTGGAAGAGTGAAGATTTAAAAACAATACCTCTGACTCCAAATCCAGTCCTCTTTCCTCTGGACTGTGTTCACTACTGCCTGATTCCATGATAGGGATGAAACATTCAGTTTTCTTGCCCTTCACAGCTTAGACCCCACTCCCAGATCTGGCACTGGACAGGTCATTTGTTGGTTCTAGAACCTCCCATGCCAGGTCTGTGATAGCAAGTGGAATGAGATGAAAGGCTTGTGGGACCTCCAGGTGCCTCAGTGAATGCTAAGCCAGGGACTGGTGAAGGCTAAATGCCCTGCTGGGATGCTAAGCCAAGAGGAAGCCCAGCTAGCCATCACAATGAGGTATTTTATAGTAGCTATGAGCTGTTCCCTGGCACTCATCCCTCCATGATCAACTGTTCTCACCCTCTCCTCTTCTTCACTCTTGGAGAAAATCTCCCAACCAGCTCTCAGAAGGCCCACCTGTGTCTTCCCTGTCCTTCGCTGCACCTTCCTGGGGACATTGGTGTAGTAATAATAATAATAATAATAATAGCAATAACAGTAACAACAATTGTAATAATAGTTGTTAACATTTATATAGCATTTACTATGTGCCAGGCACTGTGCTGAGAGCTTTACCATTATTACCTCATTATTTGATCCTCACAACAACTCTGGGAGGTAGGTGTTATTATTATCCCCATTTTGCAAACAGGGTCACATAGCTAGGAAGTGTCTAAAGATGCATTTGACCTCAGGTCTTCCCGATGCCAAGTCTAGTGCTCCAACCACTGCACCACCTAGCCAGGGCCACTCAAAGGCAAAGATACACACAGTGGGCACTCAATAAATGTTAACAGGACCAGTGAAAGAAAGGATTCTACTTGTGACTCAGGCCCTTCCCCCACGCTGCTGGAATGGTGACAGTGACACTCTGAGCTTCTCTTTGTACCCTCACCCCCAAGCCTCATGACTCTTTTCCAGCCTCTGGCTGGCCTGGCATCTGCCATGGCCCATCTCCCTGCTTCCCCACCCAGTGAGGACCCCAACCCAGAAAAATGACAGGTTCAGCCATGTCATTTGATAGACTGAAATCCATATTTGCAAAAAGATGAATTGAATCAAGTCCAAGGGACCAGCTGCTCCCTGACTCAGTTCCTCTCAGGGAGTGGGCTCTCTGTGGTTAGAAGATATTGAGGGGAAGGCTGCCTACCATGGCACTCACTTCCCCAGAGCATCGAGGCCAAGGTGCATCCATCTGATTAAACATTCAATGAAATCAAACAATTACACATTCCACATAAATAGTACCAGCCCTGAACTCCTGGGGGACCAGAAACTCCCTGGGACCTAAAGGGGCTGTCCCGAGTCTGAGCCTCCCCACTCCAAGCCCCCAAAGCTTTGGCAGAATCACTGGCAGCATCCTCTTTCTCCTGCTCTGATGACCTGACAGATTTATCTACATTTTAAATGTTTATGTGGGGCTCAGGGACTGGTCTTCAGCCAATAGCAAGAAGCAGTGAAGAGGGGGTGTAAGTTGGGCAGATCCACTGGGCAAAGGGTTAGTTACGTGAACTCCTTCCGTTCTTAACAGAGGCTCCTGTATTTGCACAAGATTCGGTTTTGTCTGATGAGGTTGCTGGGAAAGAGGGATGCTCTCAGTATTGACGAAAGGAATTATGGGGAACAGACCATTTCCGATGATGAGCCCTCAGGCTCCCAGCAGAGCTGGAAGGTCAGAAAGAAGACTCTTCAAGGAAGAAGTTGCAACTTCCTACGTGAGCAGGAGCAGAAACACTCCAGCTGGGCCCTGGCCTGGGATGATGGTGCCTTAAGGATAAAACAGCACAAGTACCAGCCCAGAACCGCACAGTCGATCTGCCCTCTGCTTTCCTGAAGCATTTCACTGGGCACCCAGAGCCCTGCAGTGCCCCATGGGTGGGCTCAGCAACCATGGCATGGCTGGAGTTGCCTTAGGCAGGATGAAGAGGGACCAAGGTCAAGAGATCAAGGGAAGGTGGATCCTCCTCACTCTGTGTGTGTGCGTGTGTGTGTGTGTGTGTGTGTGTGTGTGTGTGTATGTGAGAGAGAGAGACACAAAGAGAAACTGACACAGAGAGACACAGAGACAGAGACAGATAGAGAGACACACAGAGAGAGAGAGAGAGAGAGAGAGAGAGAGAGAGAGAGAGAGAGAGAGAGGAGGGGCACAGAACACTAGAAGCAGGGACATCAACTGAGAAGCTGCTGCAGTAATGTAGCTTTGATGCCTGGCTTCCCGCATCCTCTGTTCCAAAAGTCTCACTGTCCCCATTGTGCCCAGATGGACTAGCCAGCCTAAAAAAATTCCAAGTTCAATGTCAATAGACTACACCCCTATTTTCAGAAGGTGGAAATACATCAATTGCAAGTAACCAGCAGCCCTCTGACTCAGTTGCCCTCAGTAGGTGGGCTCCCCATGGCTGGGAGCCCACATTGAGGGCAAGGTTGCTCACCATCCAACTCACATCCCTGGGCCCCCGGATGCCCACAGAGACTGCCGTTGACTGGCAAGCAGCTGCAGACTGGGCCATGATTCCTGTTTGCTTGGATTCAGAATGTCCTTTACAGTGAGGATGTCTTTAAAACAGCTTTGGGGGAGATAATGCAGTGGGATTTCATGAAGAGGGATCCTGGGAAGATGGGCAGGAGTGAGAGGAGCTTGACTGAAAAGGCTTGAAAGGCTGAAAAGACCTGGTCTCTGTGCCAGGGTAAGGGGAGGGAGCTCCCTTGGCGGATACTTGTCCATACTTAGAGATCCGACATCTTGTTCTATTTTGTCCTTTTCCTTTTCCCCCACAAATGGCTCTTACAAACACCTGATGACAAAGTGACCCGTTTGTCCTGCTGCCCCCAGGGAGTGGGGGGACAGGATACGAGAGATAAGCCCCACTACAGATCACATAGGGAGGGCAGGGAGATAGGAACAGCTACCAAATTTCCCTAGGAAATGGAAATATAATAATAAGAATAATAATTGATATCCACATGCAAAGTATCCCCAAAGTCTTCAGAGAGTTTCAAGTGTTTAAAACCACACCCAGACTCTGGGGACATCCTGTATAGACACCATCCCCATTTTAAAGATCAGGAAACTAAGGCTGGGACAGATGAATGATTTGCCTAGGCTCACACACAGCTAGCAAGTGTCTGAGGCCAGAGTTGGACCTGTCTTCCTTATGCCAAGTCCAATGCTCTACCCATCCCACCATGCTACTTCTCAAAGACGAGAGGGTTTCCCAAGTAAATGCGATTCCTATTGAGCAAGGAAAAACAGAAAAATTGAAGAGGGAAAAGAGTGGGCCAAGGGTCAGAACAAATATGCCAGGACAACTGTTCAGAGGAGCCCATGGGGATCAGGAGAAGCAAAAAGCATTGTTTCTGGAGTCAAGGAATCTGGGCTCAAATCTCAGCTCTGTGACTTACTAGTAGTGGGACTTGGAACAAGTGTTTTCCCCTCTTGGGGCCTCGGTTTCCCCATCTATAAAGCATTGGAGTAACTGGTTCATTCAGGTCCCCTCCAGTTTTGGAGCATGTATCCCATGAGCTAGGAAGTAGTTTGAAGGTAAAATTGAGGACTCAATTGCCTAAAGAGTTATCACATCATGTGTAAGTTTGGAAGCTGGGCAGCTCTGGTCCTGTTGGGCTGGAGACCCTCTTTCATCATGACAAACTTCAACTGCTTGAAGGTGGATAACATGTCTACCCTCCTTCTACTGAGCTTTCCTCCCTCCCTCCCTCTTTCCTTCCTTCTTTCCTTCCTTCCTTCCTTGATCCCTCCCTCCTTCCTTCCTTCTTCCCTCTTTCCTTCCTTCCGTCATCCCTCCCTTCTTCTCTTCCTTCCTTCCTTCATTCCTCCCTCCCTCCTTCCCTTTCTTCCTCCCTCCCTCTCTTCTCCCTCTCTCCCTCCTTCTTTCCTTCCTTCCTTCTTTCCTTCCTTCCCTCCTTCCTTCCTTCCTTCCTCCCTCCTCCCTTCCTCCTCCCTTCCTTCCTTCCTTCTTTCTTTCCTTCCTTCCAGTTGAACATCCCTCCTCTACTAGCTCTTTTAGGCCCTTTTCATATGGCACATTCTTCAGTCCCCAAATCATACAAGGAGAGGTCAGTGAGAAGATGATTCTCAAGGCAAGGATTCAGAGCTAAGGGGGGCACTTTGAAATCTGTTACAAAATGTCGAGTATGGGGTGGATGGGGAAGGGAGTGCCAGGCCCATCTGGTTCTTGTCTCCTAGTGGAGATGAAAGTCACATCTCAAGACTGGCGAGGAAGAATGGATGGCAACACACGAGCACTAGCAGAGCTGACCTTGATGACTCTAGTATTCCTGTTCCCTAGCCCCACCCCATTCTCTCCAACTCCCTTCCCCTCACAACAAAAACCAAACCCAGAAGTAAGAATAACAGCTGATCTTGAAGGTTCATAAAGCACTTTTAAATACATTGTGATCTCATTTGAGCCTTACTATACATATGATAGGCACATATCATATCATGTCACATATGATAGGCATCACATAATACAAATGAGGAGATTGAGACTGAGTTGTCCAGGGTCATACAAATTGTGTCAAAGCCCCTCTGGGCTATGTTTGGCCTTCTACTTGATGAGCAGCAGCAGATGTGACAAGCTCCACCCATGCCCCTCCCCCTCCTCTTCCTCCTCCCCTCCCTCCCCCCATCCCAGGCTCTCTGCAGAGCTCACTGCTAGCTCAGGGGAGGAGGAGCAAAATGGGCCCCGGTGTACATCGTGGGAAGCAACCGAACCCAGCATCATTCCTGGTGCACAAATAGAACCAGGAGAG